TTTCTTTCTTTCTTTCTTTCTTTCTTTCTTTCTTTCTTTCTTTCTTTCTTTCTTTCTTTCTTTCTTTCTTTCTTTCTTTCTTTCTTTCTTTCAGTCCTGAGACTTGAATTCAGGGCCTGCACACTGTCCCTGAGCTTCTTTTGCTCAAGGCTGTCACTCTACCACTTTGTTTATGTAGTACTGAGGAATCAAACCCAGGGCTTCATGCATGCTAGGTAAGTACTCTATGACTAAGCCACATTCCCAGCCCAGCCTTCCAATTTCATAGAATAGAAATGTGTGGTCACATGTTCCTCTTTAGGGAAAGATCTGGGGAAATAACTTCTGCCTTTCCCATAAGAAACAGTGATTTTTCTGGTTAATACAATTGGGAAATTCTGCGAAATTGAGGCCCAACTCTTTGTTTTTTTTATTTTTTCTTTACTGAGTACCTTTTTTTTTGCGGTCATGGGTCTTGAACTCTGGGCTTGGGCACTGTCCCTCAGCTCTTCAGCTCAAGGCGATCCTCTACCACTTGAGCCACAGCACTATTTCCAGCCTTTTCTGTTTATGTGGTGCTGAGGAATTGAACCCAGGGCCTCATGCATGCAAGGCAAACACTCTACCACTGAGCCACCTTCCCAGCCGCTGCTGAGTAATTCTTATAGTTGTGTTCCTGTGCTGAGTACTATATTGACTGATTCCTATTTATTTTTAGTTGCATCCAGACTTCTACATTAATGCAGTCTTGCCTTTCTCCCCAAACCTTTCCAATAACCATTTTTTGTTTGTCACTACTTTGCCATACTTCTCAGTTTCACTTGCATTTCTTCTTAGCTGAGACGTTTCCATCTTGTCTTCCTTATTAATCTTTATTTCTCTCTTTGAACATTTTCAACTTTGCCCTTAAAATGGGTTTAAACTTGCTAAAGCCAGAGATGATGGTATGATTTTGTTTGTAGCTATTTAGCACTGAACTTACCATCTACTAGCACTAGATAATAATTGTTGATTGTCAGATATGCCTTATTTGTCTGTTGTGAGTTTCAAAAAAAAAGAGATTTAGGTAAAAATCATTTTCTATGTTGTAGAGTATGGTAAAAACTTTTTTTCTTACTGATTGCTTATAAAGGTTGAACATTAGTTTTATTCCATTATTTTGAAAGTCTAGCATTGTTAGAGATTTTGCCATTAACCAGCAACTAGTAACTGACATGTTCGTAGGACCTTGACTTCCTGGAGAAACTCCAACTTTCCAAAACAGAATCAGATTTATTTGGTCAGCTTGCTATACTCTATGATATTTCACTAGGATAGAAAAAAAAAGTGCAAATTCTCCATAGCCTTATTTAACCCAAGCATATACTCCTCAAGGTTCCCTGCCAAGATTCCCAGTGACGGTTATATACTCAACCTGTTCAAAATGTTAATGTTATTATTTATTAATTCATAGACGTGTCTAATATTTGTCCAGTTGTGTGTACTCTATTTCATCTGTATAGAAACATTCCAGATCATGATTACAGATTTCCAAGAAAAATCTGCTTACTGTGCATCACAAGATAAATCCCACCAGAGGGAGGGAATAAATACCCTCTTTTCTTCTTTTTTTTGTTGGTTGTGGGGCTTGAACTCAGTGCCTGGGTTCTGTCCCTGAGCCACTTTGTGCTCAAGGCTAGTGCTCTATCACTTAAGTCACAGTACCATTTCCATTTTTTTGAGTATTAATTGGAGATAAGAGTCTTACAGGGTCTTTTCTGCCCAGGCTGGCTTTGAACCGCAACCCCAGATCTCAGCCTCTTGAGTAGCTAGAATTAGAATTACAGGCATAAGCCACCAGTGCCTGGCATAAATACCTTCTTATTGGGACAGCCAGAGTGTGTGTTCTTCCTCACTGCAATGAGCAATAAAGCTAATATAATCAATTGTGGTGTGTTCCTAGTGGCCTTTTTCTGGAAAGCATTGACAATGCTCAACAAATATTTGTGGAAAGAAGAACAGAAGGAAGGAAGGAATAAAGGAAGCAAGGAAGGAAAGGAAGGAAAAAATAAGGAAGAAAAAAGGATGATGGTTTTGAATATATTTCTTAATTCAGCATTGAAATTAAAATAAATTTTCTTCTACTCAACAGGTATGTATTTTGAATTAAATGGGAGATCCAGAAGGTTTTTGTTTGGACTTTATAAAGTTTGCCTAACCAAGTCC